CTTTTCTCCTTAGGGGGAGCAGCCTCAGGGCTTGGGCCTGACTGCCTCTCTGTAGACAGCCCCCTAGATGGGCCTTGGTTTATGACCTCCTCTATCTGATCCCCAAGTTCCAGGGCCTTGTACGTGTTGGACGTGGTCACAGGTGGAGGTGAGGCGGGCTGTAGATGGGTTCTCCTGCCACCTCAAGCAGCGACCTGTTTCCATGGTTGATCGTCCCTCGATACTGTTAATTCTGCCCCCTCTGCCCTATGGCAAGAGGGTACTGGATTTACAGACTGAATTGGGGGGTTCTCTGGGTGGCTTTCCTGGGAAGACTGCAGAATGCAGCTCCACCAGTCTATTTCTCTTTCACATTCCCTGATGGCCCTCAGCCTTTCTATCTCCTCCTTCAGCCCCACCACCAGGCTGAGCAGGTCATCCACCTGCTCACGCCTAAGGCAAGGGATGTTTTTGCTTCTCCCTAGTAACATGGAAAGGCTCAGACATTCCTCACAGCTAGAAATCTGGACTGCCGCATGTTTCTGTATCTTGTAAACTAGTACTCGGGGCATTTGTTGCAGGTAAATATTACCATTAGTGGTAGTAGTGTGGGGGTCATTTGCTGGACATTTCCAGGTAACAACCACACAGCTATCTGTGCTCCCTCCTGGCCGAGGCGCTGTAGAATCCTGCCATCCCCGCACCAGGCATACACAGTAGGTTTCATATATTGTCTGTGGGACACTTATGAGCTCAGGGTCCAACACAAGTTATGTGAAGTTCACAGAATCACAGAATGATTGAGGTTGGAAGGGACCTCTAGAGATTATCTAGTCCAACCCTCCTGCTCAAGCAGAGACACCGAGAGTGCGTGGCACAGTGGCCTCAGGATGTTCCCCTGAAACAGTCAGACTGCAGCGTGCAAACCTTGTAGCCAGGAGTCTGTCAAGGCCCTAGAAGTCTTAAATATCCATCACTATCATCTCCAACATATCCCCTACGATCAGGTTGTATTCTTTCATAGGGTCTTGAGGATCAGGAGAAAGAGTCCTTCTCTCATCTCCTGCATTCACTTTGTTCTTGCAGTTCACTCACCCTTCTGGTTGCCTCAGTCTCACCTAATGCAGTAAGTTATCCAGCTGGTTGCTTCTCTCTATGGAGACCTGTCCGTAAGTAAGTCAAGTCCAAATGGGGGGATATCATGTGTGTGTGACAGGCAAGACACAGGCAAGGTGTCAGGCAGGTTATACACCTAAAAGCACTCTCAGTACCAAATCTAGGTGCTGTGGCATTCACAGTTTTAGGCTTGTGCCACGTGATGCACCACCCTGCAAGGCCTGCGGCAGCTGAACCTCCTGCCCTCTTGCACTGCTGTGGTGCTTTCACCGAAGAGGCAGGACTGACGATCCCCTGGGCACTAGCAGTGGGGAGGCAAAAACGCAGAGCTGCACACCACCTTCCTCTTTCTCTGCCTGGCAGTATTCTTCCTTTTTCTCGGTGTAGAATTGACGACTGTGGGGTCAGTCTGGGATTGGAAGGAGGAAATAGTGAAGGTGGAACTACACTAACGTGGGAAACCTTTCTTCCGTGCAGAAATCTGTTAGGTCCAGATGGTTCCTAAAAAGATAGTATCAGCAGGGAAATGGCATAATAATGAGGAGAGAAAAATATATTGTCCCACCTTACACAGAATTCTTTTCTAAAACTTTAATAGGACCTTGATACTTTTTGGTCCTGTAACCTCTTTTTTTTTGGTCTATGAAAGGTGCAGCATCCTTGCCACCAGGAACACTCTGCTCTTGGGGTAAGTTCTGAGTCAGTGATGGACCATGAAAGAACAAGCCAGCAGGAAACAGTTACTTACCAATGAATCCACTAGGCCACTGTTGAATTCCTAAGTAACATTTAACCTGCATCTAAACTGGGGTTGTGTCCTAAGTTATCGTCTTCCAAAGTAGAAGCTGTTAAACAAAAGAAGAGGGAAAGATGCAACTCAGAAAATATTTTATTGAGTACAATACCATTTCATTGTAGGTTTTCATCAAAGGTACTTTGTAAAACAACACCGGCAACCTCTCTGAGGTTGAATCCAGCTTGGGCAGGTGCACAAGGAGTAGGAGAGAGGGGCAGCCTCTGCAAATTTCCATGCAAGCAGCATAATATGAGACCTTTGCATCCAGACGGTACCTTGTCACAGTGCCCAAGTTTGCACCATCTCACCAGGAAAAAATTAATGCATCTGTATTTAGATTTTCTAAAGGATTGTAACAACCAATTACAAATCCAAATTTACAAGGTGCCGTCACTGAGTATTCAATGGGCACATGCTAGATCTTAAAATGAAAATCAGGAATTCAGAATGGCAGTACTCTAGTAAGCCTTGTCTGGACACAGGATTAGCTCTACCTCTGGAAATGGATGGATCAGAACATTAGGAGTCCTGTTGTAGACAAGAGTCAGATGGAATACACTAGTGACCAACTTCCATTTTTAGTAGATGAAGGACCATAAGAATTCAGGGAATTGGGGTTAATTCCACAACAAAGCTGGAATCCAATAAAAATTTGGCATCATGGATCTCGGAAACAGCAGTAATCCCTGGGTGACTTTCATTAGTGTTTCACTAAAACAGCCTTAAACTGGGCACAGGTAATCATATATGTAAGAATGAACTACAGTTTAAAGCAGGTAATTTTTCTGGTGTATGTATTGGTTTTCAGTGGTGGCATAGCATAAATATTTGCTATAAAATTTAGGAACAGTCATAAGCAACCCTTAAAATGTCCCCATATTGCTTTTTTTTTTCTCTCTCAACTCTCTCTCTTTCATTAGGAAGCATATATACATTCTGAGACTGTGTAGGAAATTTTCAGGTTGGTTGTATTTCTGCAGCCAATTGTAGATTTTATGAGCTGGTCCCCACAGAATCTTAAAAATCTGCCATGAAACTAGCGCTGTACTTCCAAAGAATTCCAGAAGCACTTGCTATAACATTAAATATGAAGGTAAGTGCAGCAGTTAATATGTCTTATTACAGAGCATTTCGTTGTCCTTTGGATGTGCATGTCCCAGCATGTATCGGAAGTACCACTCTATCAAGAAATAATTTTGTAAAGCAGGATGGAATACTTTGCTAACCACAAGAACATTTTCAAATAAAAATAAGTTATTAAGCAACATGTTTTAAAGCAAGAGAAAGGGAAATGTAAAGTTTAGTATATTCCTTATCAATTAAAAGGGAAAGTCCAGAATAGTCCAGAAAGACCAAAATATTCAGATAATTCTGAAGGGTTCTGTTGAAAGGAATCTCTTATTTCTTAAAAAGACAACACATTCTCAAGAGAGTATCTTCTGCAGTGAAATATTTTAGTTTCTTCATATAGACACATAATACACAATGTTAACAACATGAAAAACAATACAAAATGCTTTCAAATTTAACAAGTAGAAAAATATAACTAGTATATATGGCAATTGTGAATCTAATACTGTACAGAAGTATTTATGGATTTTACAAATAAATTATAGCTTAAATGCCCTTTTCAAAATTTCTAAATGTACACTGGAACATAGGTTCTGAAGCTTACCACTAACTTGCCACAAATGAATGCCAGTCAAATGTTCTGCCAACAAGCTCAAAAAATTTCTTGTTGGGTTCATGGAAATAGGCATGCAGTTTCTCAAGTAAGCGGGTATCTACCTGTGGGTGTGCTCGTCCTTTTGACTCGTGTAAACAGCGTTCCCTACCACTGTCCCTTAGGCAATAGAAGCCTTTAGTTTTATTGAAATAAAAGTTTGAAGCATTTATCTGTGGTGATAGCTTCAAAAATCGCTCTACTTTCTCTATTTCTGGAAAGGGATCTTTGATTAGTTTATCCCCATCTACAATGTGGATGCGATCAAGAGGAAAATACTTCAACCAGTTTTGCATGTGAATGTAATACAAGCTTCTGTTTATTGCCTTGTAGTCCACATTGAGTTCACCATCTTTAATGAGGAATTGTTCAATGGAGGGGTACGGCTTGTGCTTCTGCATGTGATTATAGAACACTTGGGTGTAATCTGATAGTACTCTCTCGCTTGGGTCTCTTAAAATCAGGAGTAATCTCATTGATTGGTTCATGTTATAAACTCTTTCAGGCACTTTCGGTGATGTGAAATATGCTGGAGTTTTTTCCACGGTGATCTGATGGGGGTAGGAGAATGGCATTTGATTAATATACCACTGCAATCCGTTTCCATAATGATCTTCCCAGTCAAAGAAGTGAACTTCACTTTCTGCTGCCGCGATATCTGGATGGAGGCTCAGCATCTCCAGCAACGCTCTGGTTCCCCCTTTCCTCACTCCAATAATAATAGTCTGTGGCAGCTGCTGGCATGATCCATTAGAATGAATGCTTTCCTTGAAGTCATTTTTTTGAGATGTTTTCTTTAGAAGCTCTCTCGGAACAGACTGAGAAGACGTCTCAGCCTTTGAATTTACAGCCGGTCTGGAAGGCACTATATGAGGTTGAACAATAAGCAACACGGCTCCCAGCAGAAAAGCTGCCATGACAGAGGTTCTTAGTCTGGTTTCACTCAAGCAGGTAATGGGGCACGGAGAGATTTCCACAGAGAGCAACCTTTAAAAGTTGTTTTTGTTTTGCTGGGCGAACTTGTATTTCTCAGACAGAAACTTTGCTGAGGGAAAAAAAAAAGAAAAAGAAATTATTTTTAGTCATATATATCACACTAAAGCCACAATCACTACTAAAGCCACACTGCAAGTATTTTGTGATGTTCAAAACTGATCTTTTAGCTTTACCAACTGGAGACTCATAGATCACTGGACTGAAGGAACTTCTCTAAGTACAGGCACTACAGTAATGCTGTGAGGGAAGGATTTCCAGTCATCAAGAAAAAGCAACATTGTGAATCTTTCTTTTGCACCCAAGATTCACCCCGAGTATTATTATTCTTATGTTTTGTAAATCGGATTTCATTGGAGTTGAACCACTATCAAAGGTGAATTCAAAGCTTTTTTATCTGCAAGATCAGGTCTGTCTTAGGAGCAGAAGCCGTGCAGGAAAAGGTGAGGGTGGGGAGAAGACAGCCCCTCGCCAGGCTGGGCCTGTGCAGGAATTGTGGGAATTGTAGTCTCCTGCAGGCACTCCTGGGAAAAGCCTCCTCCTCTAGGAATTGAGCGGCCCCCTTCCCCGAGGTGCAGTGGCCTAGGGGGAAGCGGTAACGAGCTCTGGCCGAGCAGCAGACGGGGGAAAGTGGAACTTCCACACGGGCTTTAAGTTATGTCAACGTTTGCTGGGAGCTTAAGGTCTCTGAGGCTAGCGGGGGTTTCCCTGTGCTACGAACCAAGGAGGTGAGGAGTTGGGTGAAAGGAAGAGGTTCCGCTCTGGTCTAAATGACTGTTTGGAGCCATTGCTGGTTTCAGTGAATCAGCTTTCGAAGCCTGCGCTCTGCAGTAGGAGGCCTGGGGACTTTTTCTGCAGGCCTAAATGCAAGTGGGCCTTGGAAAAGAAGGTGGTGCGCAATCCCATCCTGCAAAAAGGTAGGATAAGGGGTATATTGTAATCTGTAGGATGTCTGCATCAGCAAAATGCTAAAAGAGCTGTGGTCCTAATAGGAAAAATAGGCCGTGGTTATTTGTGAAGGCCATTTCCAGAGATGGCTAGCAGGCTGCTGCCGTGCGAACAACTACATTTGGCATTTGTTTATCAAAAACAAACAAACAAACAAAAAACCTTAGTAAATTAAACTTAAAGGTCAGGATAATTTTAAAAAATACAGTGTTAATACCCTTTGAACCTGTCTCATATCACATATGTGAATGTAGCAAACCTTGTAGCAAACCTGTTGAGATTGTTCTATTAAAGCTGAAAGTATTAAGATTCCTATATTAGGGCAAAATCTGTATCCCACAGATTTTGTAACCTCGGTGAAGGGCTTCTGTAAGCAGGATTTTGGTGGTGAATCGCTCCAGAGAGAAATGGAAGCCACGAGGGCAGATACAGTGGCTTAGTAAGACAAAGTAATACTGGATTTCAGCTTGGAACAACTTGTGCTGCACGAGCTAACCAGGCTGGAACATGAAATTATATATGAACAACCTGAGGAAATGCAAGGGCTACGTTTTGGAAATTCTCCAGAGAATCTGAAAAGAAGCTAATGACTTCCACAATAAGCTAAGTCCCAGTGTGACAAGGACTAATGATGTGTTTCTAGGCAGTCTAGAAAGTTCTGTGCGATATTTTGTCATTTACAGAGGTCGTGACTCCATCCTGAATGGAGCACGCCTGTTTCCTGATGTTTGCTAATGATTATTTTTATGCTTTCACTTTTCTAATTGCTCTTAAAGGGCTACACGGCAGCTCTGTTGTTGGTGAGCAGAAATCCAGGCTGGGAGGTGAGGGAAGCTGAGAGCGAAGTCGGGCCTGAAGCCACAGGAATCTGCCTGCCCGGCTGCCTGCGGCTTTGAGCGCGTGGCCACCACGCAGAAAGTTGTGCCCTGGGCCACTCTGTGATGTCTCATATGAGGAGGCTTTACAGAGAAGCTCATTCTTTCATTTTGGTCACTCATATGAGTTTTTTCTGGTTAAGAGAGTGCCATTTTGGCTGCTGTCAGTAATCTGCTTGGTTTCCCTGGCCTTGCTGTTCTTGTTAATCTTTCTCAGTTTAATCCACTTCAGCTTTTGCAAGAAATGTTCTTAATTTTTTACACAGACACAAACCCCCTTGGGGCACTGGGTGACAGTTCAGCACAGGTAAATTCACGGTGTGTGTCCCCAGTGAACTAGCTACTACATATTTAGGTGGAATGTGACCAAATGACCCAGTGACGGTATGTTTAGATAGACGACTGATAAGAGCAACAAAACACCAACTCTTGATGAATTTTAAGGTCACAGATTAAAGGAATAGCCACTTACTTTAGAGTATATTTTAAGAGTGACTAGCTCCATAAATAGTAAGTCGGAGTTGTTCTCCTAACACCTTACTGGAAAAGCGTAATAGGATTTCAGTGAGAACAGGTTGAACTGTTGTTGAAAGGAGTTAAGTTAAAGCCTGACAGTGGAAACCCTTATTGCTAAGTAGTCACATTGAAGCATGCTCTGCTAATAACCAAATTCTGCAATGAGCAACCCATCTTCAGAAAAATTATCTTTTAGTTGCTACACACACTTATTAATGACACAGCACACTGCTAGGATTCTTTTTAAAACAAACTGTATGTAAAATGTCATGGGACTAATTTTTAATTTATAGCTTATGTACTACTCAGTTACCAACTTTTTTTCTTAGAACACGCATTCCCTTGGCTGGACATGGCATGGGAATGTTTGGGTGGAATAGCGAACACAGCCAAGTGTTTCTGAACGGCAGCTCTCCCCTTGTCTTGGGCTCACGTGGCTCTGTTGGGAATCGAGCTCGGCGGATATTACAGCTGTGGTTAAGCCTTGCTTCAGGTAGTCCCTTGAGCCTCCCGCAGAGCTGCCTCATGGTCTTCTCATTCCTAACTGGAATATTTGCTTTGGGAATATTTTTTTCTAAATAAACAAAAGTAACTGCTTTCTGTTGCAACATGAGACCTCAGAATAATTTGGAAGTATGTTATATTTCAAACATATGGAATTCAGTATTCTTTTTGTTTGTTTTTTGGGGGGGGTTGTTTTGTTTTTTTCCAGTTTGTTCAGGTGTGCATCAGGTGTTTCACACTGCACAGGGTACCTGTAGTATTTGCTGCCTCTCTGCACGCCTAATGAAGCACGTCAGTAACTACGCCATTCAGAGTCCGTATATGCTACTGTCGTTTCACTTGGAAGCGATAAAGCTTTCTCTTTCTTTCCATTCTCTTTTGTTTCTTACAAACTCTAGAGGTTTGCTTTCTGAACCAGAGATTTTGTTGTGTTAGACTAGTGCAACACAATGGACATGAATATTCCTCTAAATTCAGCACAAAACATATGTTGTGTGGGCAAAATGGTGTCCAGGAATAAAACTGCATATAAACTGGCTGTCATTCGACTTTCTTCTCTTGTGTCCTTTTTAGTGCTTTATGCAGATCTTCAATTTGGTAACTGGAGATGCAGCAGTTTATATAAAATGATGAAAATGTGTATTCTGTAGCTTTGTAATTTGTAGGTCTGAAAAACTGTTTCAAAAATAATAAGTGTGCACTGAAGAGTTTATAGCAGCCACTCTGCCAAATTACTTTTCTGCTTTAAGATTTCTCTTCACTGCCTCCACAAGTCATTCAGACGTGACTTCGAATGACTCTGTGTTCCAGATTAGTACAAAAATGTAACTGACAGTAGTATTCTATTTGCTACCAGTAAACGAGCAAATTGGTAAAAGAAACTGTTTTTGTTAAATGGCGCTTTGAAGATTATGTGAAGACTTTTCGAAAAGTCTGATTGCTTTTTCTTAATCTTTTATTCAGCTTTCCCCAATTAATTAGCAAAAAGTACCATTCTGTTTATTCAACAAGATGCAGTGTGGACATTGCCAATCAAATCAGCTTTAATGATTAAATCCTCTTGAAAAGAAATAGTAACTTGGCAATTAATGGAAAATTTTCTCACTAAATGCAATATGAGGACAATAGCTGTCTTATTTCAATTACTTTTAAGCGTATTTCAGTGTTCTTTGAAACATGCATCACTATTTTACAACTTCTGACCATGTATTACCACATTGCCAAGGTACTTGAATGCCTCAATGTGTGTGTATATGTATATATACACACACACAAATACACATATATGTATGTGTATATCTCCTCACTCAAGGACATGGCCTAAACTACCTAAATTGTGTATAATTTTTAATTTAATCAGCATTAACTTTTTGTCTGGATTGATAACTTCATTTTTCCAGGGGTGGGAAAGAGGAGAGATAGGAAAGAGATGAGGCTGAGATGAGACGTGGCTGCTGCCAGGACAGTGACTGGGAGAAGGGACCTGCTGTACCCTTTGCACAAACCTTTGTGCAGGTGACTTCCCACCAGCATCACTGAGCAGAAGCTGTGGCTTTTGTGGTGCTGTAGAGACAGAGGAAGAGCTGCCTTAGTTTTACCCCTCCGCACCTTCTCTCACTGTAGAGCTGAAGCACTTTGCTGCAGACATCCTTACATAGGTATCTTAAAAACACCCTGAAACCCACAGATCAGTTGCTAAGGTTTGTCTCTAGAGGGAGATTAGAGCTGGAAATCTGAGGGAAATACCTTACGCTCTAAAATATCCCTAGTTTTGCAGATATGGCAGAACCTTAGGACAGATCATGAGCTCTATGATTTTCCTTTGCGTTAGAAGCCTATATTTAGGCACTGAATACTGCAAAATATGAGAGTACTTTGCTGGCCAAAACTAGCTGTGCAGTATGGCTCACAGATCTATGTTGGCATCTTATATTCGGGGGTGGAGGGAGCGGGAAATCTATAATTGAGCTAACCAGCTCTACAAATAACTTTCTAAACTGATGAAAAGTCAGTGGTCTGAATATTTGTATTCAGTGCTGTATTTAAAAAATATCGAACTAGATCAATTCTAATGTACTTGAAATTCTTGAACAGCACATGCTATGAACAGCACATATCCCTATTCTCTAAGAATAGATGGTGCTTGGCATAAGATATATTCCATAGTAGTTTATATGATCTCTTTCAAGTGACATTTTGTACCCAGTTAGCATTATAGTCTGT